GACACTTTTATTATAGAGAAAGGGTGAATAGTGATATTAAAATATTTATCCTAATTAATTTTCTTTCAATGTGCAGGAATTTGTGCACCGGGCCACTAGTATAAATATAAATGGTGTGAAAAGTTTATAAATCAAAGCTATAGTACATAACCAGGTTTTTAGCAAAATAATTCTGTGCAACTGTTGTATTAACATATGTCAGTTGGAGGTTCAGACTGACAAACATTAGACATAGTATCTTAGGATGGAAAATAAAACCCAATTTACTTCTGTAAAGGTTAAAGAAGGAAGTTGATGCAGTGAGGACCACATACCAGAGAGATCAGAAATTTTAATTAGAGATGGTGGTGTAAGCCTTCAGGACCCCCCAAAAAAGCCTAACAGTAGACCTGTAGTTTCAGTAGACATGACTGAGCATCATACCCTCTGAAATTTTGTCTACCCTTTTTAGGCCCGGCTTTATTTAAAAGGGGCTATAGTAGGCTAGGATACGGCCTTGCCTGTATATATTGAGGACATATGTTGCATCCAGACCAGATGTACCTTATTAATCTCAGAGCTATGCAGTGCATAATATGACTGGTAGAATATAGCACATGTGCTCTACAGAGGCATTAACAGCTTTCTCCCTCATTATTCTTAATCTACTCAAGCTACCATGGCTTGGCTGGGGTGTTCTTCTGAATTTGGTCATGTGGAACTAGATTAAAGTTTAGCTACCTAGCTGTATCTGAGAGTCACAATAAAAGGCTCTTAGCCAGCTTTAGAGATTACCTAATCCTAGAAAATTCCAGGGATGGAAATTTCACAAGAATCTCCTTTACGCATCACATAAGGTAAATGAACCTTAGAGCATGCTCATTCATAGCTTTGTGGTGGAACAGATTTTAATAGCTTAATTTCATTTCTAAAAAATGTTTATATTTCAGTTAGTAGTTAACAAAACATGTAAAGGAAATTATTATTTGAGGCATAAAAATCAGAAGTGTTTAAACCTACCAGAAGACAGAAAAGGCATTATTGCATGTGTTTTTCAGACCATAACTTAGTTACAGTCCTAAAGAAAGGCTGTAGGAAGCTTGTGTGCTTTAGTAGCCAAAATCCTAATAGGAGCACAGACAATAACTTCATCTTTGTTCCTCACCTCCATAAGTAACTATGCTCTGAGTTCTTTGATTACTGGGGCTGGGTTGTATTTATTTTTGTGTCTCTTATACTTAGCACGGTAATAGGCACAATATATATTACATGTTCAATAAATGTTTGTTATTGATATTTTTATTTGTAGTCTGGACTCAACATGTTTACTTTCTTTAGTAATTGTCAGAGGAAGATACAGACATATAATTGGAAAAGATAAAAACAAATAACTGTGCTATTAATTTTTTTCCTAACAACTATTTTACTTTTTCATAGTGCTGATATTTAAGGAATTCAGGCATTGCTTTTTACTATATTTTTGAAATTTCACACAAATAAACTTTTTATTCATTTTTGAAATTGCTACTATACTGCTTTAATTTTACTTCAATACTGATTAAGAGAAAGATCTTAGATATATTTTATACAGAGTTCTGAAATACGCTTAACTACTTGGAAGCTATTGAAATTCTCCTGTAATTAAGTATAGTCTAAAATAATTTTATGTATCTTTAAGTTGAGTTGATTAAATAAATGTAAGAGTAACCTTGTTAAGATTTGGAATGATAGTATAGATTTTACTTCTACTTAAAACAGTAAAGAATTTGTTCTAGGAGTAGACACTAATATACATGTAGGTATTTCTTCATTACAGAGGAAAGTTTTATTTCATATCAGCCTTCATATTCTGCAACAAAGAAAAGATTTAGAATAATTTTTAACTTTATGGAATATTTAATGTTCAGAATTTCTGAATTTGCTATTTATCTACATTATCCAGGCAAAGGGGGCAGCTAGCTGTGGAAAGAGCTAAACAAGTAGAAGAGTACCTACAACGAAAATGGGAAGCAAGGCAGAATAAAGCTCGAGCCGAAGGACATATGGTATGATTTTTTTCTCTTGAGGTTTTTGAACATATTAGTTCAAAGTGAAGGTCCGGAATAAGGTAGGTATAAATGAAAAGAACTATAATCTTTTACAAACATTTCCTCTAAACATTTGCAGAATGTAAAGTTGTGATGTATCTTAACTTATTTAACTCCTCTTCTGCTTTATCTTTTAAAGCTAGGGTAAAATTCTGTTGTTGGTATGATTAATTGGGAGTAAGTTCATGGCTGTATCTTTCCTTTAAAAATAGCTGAAGTAAATGTAGCAACCCAGATATTTATAGTGAATAAATTAGGTCTTATATTATTGCTCATTTTATTTCTCCATATGCTTTTGGTTTTAAATACTTAAAGTAGCAGAGAATGTAAAGAAAAAAGGGAAATAAACATTTGGATAAGTATGTGTAATTACACATTTACTCAATAGCAAATTAGAAACAAAAGTATATTAAAAGTTTTGACTTGTAGAGGTACACACTGATAATTATTTCTCTCAGCTCAGCACTCCATGAAGCATCATGCTCACATAGGAAATAGGTCAATTATATGGCAACATATTTTGATTAGACATATCTACTGTAAGTTCATAAATGGTATCTTTATAAGTTAATGCAATTATTCCAATTTAGGATATTTTTTTGAAATATATCATAGAAAGTTAGCTAAATTTTTTAATGGTTACCCTTTTAACAAACAGTAGTTTATGTTTCTCTAATATCTGGAATTATTCTCTATTTTTATGCTTCTTGTAGATAGTAGAAGAGATCCTCCAGCATTTTCCCTTGCTCCATACTTCCCATGTTAACAGCATCAGGAATTTTAGTTACAAGTTTTAATTTAAAATGTTTAAAACAATTAGAATTATCAGGAGTTACAGATTTTTTCCCCTAGCATTGTTCCTTACATCCTCCTATTCTTCCTTCAGTTTATTTTTCTTCATGCTGGAGAATATCTTCTGGTAATCCTTCTCAAGAGAAAATTTCCCAGATTTGTTGGGAAATGTCCTTATTTTGTAATCGTTATTAAATGATAATTTGTAGTGCTGGTCTTCTGGTGAAATTGCTCAGTGTTTGTCTCAATAAATATTTTGCTGTCTTTTTTGAAAAAGATTTTTGCTGTATATAGTATAGGTTGAAAGTTTTTTTCTTTCAGTACTTCAGAGATATCACTCTACTTATTGTCTGTCATGTCTATTTCTGACCAGAAGTCTGCTATTATTCTAATTTTTTTCTCTAGATGTAATGTTGTTGTTTTTCTCTGATGGCTTTTAACAATCTCTCTTTATCACTGGAAGCAATTTAATTATGCTATGCTGTATCTTGATGTACTCTTCATGGTTATTTTATTGGGGCTCATTGAGCGTCTTGGATCTGGGTTTATAATTTTTATCAAATTTGGAAAAATTGCAGTCATTTCTTCAACAAAATTTTTCTGTTCTCTCTCTTTTTCTTTCTAGGATGCTCAGTACCTATATATTAGACTATGTGATGCTCTCTCAACAGCTGACTATGTTCTGTTCAATTGTTTTCACTCTTTTTTCTATGTTTCATTTTGGATAGCCTCTATTATTATATCTTATAGTGCATTAATTTTCTTCCACTTTGTGTAATCTGCTGTGAATCCCATCCAGATATTATATATTTTTTTTACCTCAGATATTAAATGTTTTATCTCCTAAAATGCATTTAGTTAATTTTAATACTTTTTATGTATCTCTTTATAATACTTATTCTTTTCTCTACCTTCTTGAACATATGAAATATAATTGTGATAGCTGTTTTAATGACCTTGTGTACTAATTCTGTTTTGTTTATTATTCCTAATCTATACCTGGTAATTTGTGATTGGATACCAGGAATTGTGTATTTTATCTTTCTTTTTAATATACTGGGTTTTTATCCTGGGATGCAGTTAAGTTATGTGGAATAGTTTGAGTCTTGCAAGGCTTGCTTCTAGCTTTTCTAGGCAGGTCCCAAACAGCCTTTAGTCTAGAACTAATTTGGCCCCTTGCTCAGGCAGTGCTCTTGAGTACTTAATGCCCTGCGATTGGAGGTCTTTCCACTCTGGCTGTTGGAAGAATGAAACATTCCCAGTCCTAAGTAAACCTGAGATATTGTTGACATTATGCTGTTGTCACTCAGCAGGAAACACAGAGGAAACCCCCTACAAATCTCCAGTACTCCTCTCTGTGCAACTCTCCGTTCTTTGGTACTCCATCCTGCCAATTTTAGTGATCTTCAACTTCTCAAGTTCTGACTGCTGTTTCCTTAACTCAGGGAAACTGCTAAGCTCTGTTTGGGGACGTGTGCTGCAGTGTAGAAGATATATAGTTATTTAACCACTGCCACAGTCATGGTATAGCACTATTCCATCAGCTCTTAAAAGTTTCTTCACCTCACCACAAGAAAAAAAATTGTTACTGTATGAAATGATGGATATTAACTAAATTTATTGTGGTACTAATTTCTCAGTATATACATATACCCAAAATCATGATGTACATCTTAAACTGATGCAATGTTATATGTCGATTATATCTTAATAAAATTGGGGGAAGATTTTTCTGGTGTCCTTTTACAATTAGTCTACCACCAGCCATAGGCAAACACTGATCTGTTTCCTGTACTATAGTTTTGTCTTTTCTGGAATTTTATATAAAATTATTGGTCATACGGGCTATAATTTTTTAGGATGATGTGTGTCAGTAGTCTGTTCTTTTAAAATTCTTGAGTCATATTTTATTGTATGCTTGTACCACAGTTTTTTATTTATTTATACTTCAGTTGATAGACATTTATGTGCTTTCCAAAAGAGATGCCTTTAAACTCATTGGAGTAACATGAAAATTACATTCACTCACTTATATTAATAAGTATAATTGATTAGCCTGTCCTCCCTGGGGAGGCATAGCAAAGGTACGGTCAATTTCAATCTTTGTCTATTATTAGATAGGACTAGTGGCCCAGTGCACGAATTCGTGCACATTAAAAGGGAATTAATTAGAGGAAATATATATTTTTTAAATATTTTTATTGATTTCAGAGAGGAAGGGAGGAGAAAAGAGAGATAGAAACATCCATGATGAAAGAGAATCATGGCTCGGCTACCTCTTGCATATCCCCTACTGGGGATCGAGCCCGCAACCTGGCATGTGCCCTTGACCGGAATTGAACCTGGGACCCTTCAGTCCACAGGCTGATACTCTATCCACTGAGCCAAATCAGCTAGGTCTAGAGGAAATATTTTAATATTGCTACTTGCCCTTTCTCTATAATAGAAGTGTCAGAGATGAAAGAAAATTAGTAAAATGTATATGAAAATCTTCCTCCTGTCAAGAGTCTGGGGCACGCCGCGGGACCCAGAGTCAAGTCCCCACCCACCCGTGCGCACCTTGAAATCACGCGAGACCCAGACCCGGCTGGCCCCCACCTCCATTGGGCAATATCCAGCCCCGGCCAGACCCTCCCTCATCAAGCCCCGTCAGGTGGGGGGGTGCAGCCTCAGGGCCCCTGTCAAGACCCGCTGGGCGGGGGGCATAGCCTTAGGTCCCCCAACCTGGTGCTGGGCGGGGAGCGCACCCTCAGGTCCCCCGGCCCACCCTCAGGTCCCCCGGCCCAGCACCGGGACAGGGTTGCAGCCTCAGGTCCCTGCTGATGGCTTGTTATGGCTCATTATGGGAAGCCTGCCTCCACTATGGGCGCAGCCATTTTGTGATGGCGTGATGGAGTGGGGGTCAGTTTGCATATTACCTCTTTATTATATAGGATTATTGGTCATACGGGCTATAATTTTTTAGGATAATGTGTGTCAGTAGTCTGTTCTTTTTAAATTCTTGGGTCATATTTTATTGTATGCTTGTACCACAGTTTTTTATTTATTTATACTTCAGTTGATACACATTTATGTGCTTTCCAAAAGAGATGCCTTTAAACTCATTGGAGTAACGTGAAAATTATATTCACTCACTTCTACACTAATAAAAGAGAAACATGGTAATTAGCGTATGACCGCTACCCTTTTCATTGGCTAATCAGTGAGTATATGCAAATTAACTGTCAGCCAAGATGGCGGCCGGCAGCCAGGCAGCTGGAAGCGAGCATGAGGCTTGCTTGCTACGGACTCCAACGTTCCCCGCCTCACTTGCCGGCCTCTGAGCTACAACTCTAAGCAACTATGTACTATGTTGCAAATAAGAAGATAAACAAAACCCCAGAAACCAGCTTTCATTCAGCCGGGCTTTAGCAACATTGTATCGATGTTTTCAGCAGCGAGGCCTCAGAGCTAAAGCTGGCCCAGAATAAAAAAAAAAAAAAGAAAACAAGGAGCGGTTGGAAGCTTCAGTCACTCGCTTCCGGAAAACAGCCCTCAGCCCCTCACCCAGACTGGCCAGGCACCCCAGTGGGGACCCCCACCCTGATCCAGGACACCCTTCAGGGCAAACCAGCCGGCTCCCACCCGTGCACCAGGCCTCTATCCTATATAGTAAAAGGGTAATATGCCTCCCAGAACCGGGATCAGCGGAGCAGTGAGGCTCCCGGCACCGGGATCAGCGTGACAGGGGGCAGCGCCCAAACCCCCTGATCGCCCTGCGGCTCTGTGTGTTACAGGGGGCGGGGCCACAACCTCCCTATCTGCCCTACTCTGTTCGTGACAGGGGAAGGCACCCCAACCCCCTGATCAGCCCTGCTCTGTGCCTGATAGGGGGGAGCTCCCCAATCCCCTGATTGCCCTGCGGCTCTGTGTTTGACAGGGTGCAGCGCACCAACCCCCTGATCGGCTCTGCTCTGTGTGTGACAGGGTGCAGTGCCCCAACCCCCCCCCC